AGAGTAGGAGCATCCTCAGGGAGAAAACGTGCCAAGTTGAGAGTAGTAAGATAGAACAACATTTTCTACTGCCATCTTTTAAAATCAGTTCCTGAGAACTTCTCTGGCCTTTCACCGTGATTAACTGGCACAGTCACCATACCAGTCAACATTAATAGGAGAGAGGGTTGGCTTGGCGCAATTGCAGCCACCATACCAGTACTTGTTTGAGCATTAGTTTGACCAGTTTCAGTAGCCATGAATTATAAATTATAAAACACAATTATAAATAGAATTTAATACTACCTAGAAAATTAAACCATAAACATAGAATTTTAAATTCTATAAAAAGAAACAAGAATCGTAACTTTTATTTTTAATTAATTTGCAAATAAAAAATTATTTAAACAAATTAATTCTACACAGAAAAATAAATTTATGTAACACTTCAATAATTAAAATACTGAAATAGAATTTTAATCCATGTTCTTTACAAAATTCACCAAAAGGTGACTCATATTCACCACCTTTATCACTTCTAAGTTTCTTAATTTTCTTACCAAGTTGATTTTGAACTTCATTCTTGAATTGAATGAAAGTTTTCAAAGTTTCATCCTTGGTTTAAATTAAATAAACATAACTATATCTAGTATAGTCATCTATAAAAGTGATAAAATAATTTTTTCCACCTTTAGTTTCAATTGATTTAAAATCACAAATGTCAATATGAATTAATTTAAGTGGTTCTGTACTTCTTTCAATTGTATGAAAATGAGGTTTGGATAATTTTGCCTCAACACAAATTTTATATTTATGATTTAAATCAATGTCAAATTTAGATAAACATCCCATATTAATTAATCTACGCAAAAATTCATAATTAACATGTCCAAGTCTACTATGTCATAAATTTGAAGACTCAAGCAAGTAAGAAGAAGATATATTTTTATTAATAACAGAGGGTACAACAGTCATTACATTGATTTTGAAAAGGCCATCAGATATGTAATCTTTTCCTACATACATCCCGTTTTTAGTAAGTACAAACTTGTCACTTTCAAAAACTAGCCTAAACCCATTTTTACTCAACAAAGATCTGGAAACAAGATTCTTGCGAATGTCCGGTACATGCAGTACATTGTTGAGACTGAGTTCCTTTCCAGATGTCATCTTCAAAATAATCTTTCCTTGTTCTTCAACTTTAGAAGTCGGAGAGTTGCCCATAAAAAGTTGTTCACCATTGTCCACCACTGAATAAGATGTGAACATCTTTTTGTCGGCATAGATGTGGCGAGTAGCACCAGTGTCCACCCATCATTCTTTAGGATTTCCGACAAGATTTGTCTTGGAAACAACTACAGAAAGATTTATGTCATCTACACCATTGGAAATATTGTCCACTTCGGTCATATGGGCTTGAGCAGGCTTCTTGCTTATTCTTCTTTTGCTTTTGCCTTTGCTACGACAATATTTGGCCCGATGTCCCTCTTTGTCACAGATGTAACACTTGCCATTAAACTTGTACTTTTTAGTTACCCTCTCTTTAGAGCCTTGTAATGAACTTTCTGCAGAAAACTTCCGTTTATTTACTTTTGGAGCATGTTCCACCATATTTGCCTTAGAATTCATTGGATGCTTACCAGTCCACTTTTCAGAATTGCGGTTGTCCTCCTCAATCCTCAAACGCACAATCAATTCCTCTAAAGACATTTCTTTGCGCTTGTGTTTGAGGTAGTTCTTGAATTACTTCCAGCCTTGTGGTAATTTCTCAATTAAGGCTGTAACTTGGAAGGATTCACTGAGAGACATGCCTTCTGCGTGAATGTCACACAAAATAAGTTGGAGATCTTGAACTTGGCTGATCACTATCTTGGAATCAACCATTATAAAATCTAGGAATTTTTCAGCCACAAATTGCTTTGAGTCAGCATCTTCTGTTTTGTACTTTTTCTCCAAAGACTCCCAAAGTTCCTTTTCTGTTTTGATAGGACTGTAGACGTTGTATAATGTGTTGTCAAGTCTGTTCAAGATGTAGTTCCAGCAATGGAAATCAGCATGTTTCTAGGCATCGACCGTAGCAACCACTTGCGGTCAGTTTCATTCTCTTTCAGAGTAGGAGCATCATTACGGAGAAAACGTGCCAAGTTGAGAGTAGTAAGATAGAACAACATTTTCTACTGCCATCTTTTAAAATCAGTTCCTGAGAACTTCTCTGGCCTTTCACCGTGATTAACTGGCACAGTCACCATACCAGTCAACATTAATAGGAGAGAGGGTTGGCTTGGCGCAATTGCAGCCACCATACCAGTACTTGTTTGAGCATTAGTTTGACCAGTTTCAGTAGCCATGAACTCTAAATTATAAAACACAATTATAAATAGAATTTAATACTACCTAGAAAATTAAACCATAAACATAGAATTTTAAATTCTATAAAAAGAAACAAGAATCGTAACTTTTATTTTTAATTAATTTGCAAATAAAAAATTATTTAAACAAATTAATTCTACACAGAAAAATAAATTTATGTAACACTTCAATAATTAAAATACTGAAATAGAATTTTAATCAATGAACACTCATAAATTATTTCTGAAAACCAAAATTAAGTTCTAACAAATTTCACAAATAAATATTCTGAATTGTAAATGACACCAGTATATTACTACTATCTGTCAAACAGTATATTACTACTATTTGTTTTTCCAACCAAAATATTATTTTCTAAAATCACAGAAAATAAAATCTATAAGAAGAAAAAAGAGGAAAGGAAACAAATGAAAAGTTCTGTATAAACAGAATAATTCGAATCTGTCTTAAGATTGTTGGAACAATCTTCTATGTACAATAAATAAATTGAAACAAATCAAACAAAAGAAAATAAATTACTTACCAAATTTGTTTTACCAAACCAAGTAAATAATTAAAGGATTAAGTCGAGTGCGTGACACTCTATCCTTAAGACAGATTCGCCTCGCTACGGTGCTTACGGTTAAATGGCATCTATCTCCCAGGATACAATGATCTTCACAAATTGTGGTAGCACTCCAAACAATTTATACAACGACCAAAACATGTGTTCTAACTCTCTGAATTTTTTTTCCCTAAAATAATATGAAGATTATATCATGCAAGGGAGCAAAACTAGAAGGAAAGTAAGGAGTTTCATATTGGAAATCTGCTGGAATGGTCTAGGTATATATAGGGCTGAAAAAGTGTGAATTCTAACTTCAACAGGTCTGAATTTTGAACAAACTGGTGCTGTTACTATTCAAATAGATAAATGCTGGAATGTTTGATCTGTCCAAACTGTATGAAACCGTTTGAACTGGGCAGATTCAAATCTGTATAACTGTAGCAGTTTTGAGCAGTTAATCTGTTGGATATTTTGGACTGAAAGAGGCAAATATGGACAAAAAATTAAATTCAATTTTGGCACAAAATTTGAATTTAATTTCATTAAGAATTTTTGGAAAAAAATCAAATAAATTTTGTCCAAAAATTAATATTAGACCCAATCCACAACCCACACCCGCCCCGGGCACCGCCAGACGGCAGTGGCGGCGCACATGTGTGTGGTGGTTTGAGCCAAGGTTTCATTTGTCCATAATTCCTCCCTTCTGCAAACTTATGGTGCCCCTTGGGGCCTAACCCAAGGTTGTACACCTAGAGCTTATATACTCACAAAAGCTCTCTTAAAGTTTCAATGTGGGACAACCCATTTTAAGGATACCCACATTTAATTCTTTAAATGTCCATTCCACGAACCCGAAAACGACGTCAAGTTCTCATTCACTCATAAATGGTTTTGATGAACCGTCTGCACCGTGTGACTTACCATGCGGCAAGGAACACGTCACCTCGTTGGACTTACCCCAAAAGACACGCAGGACACTCTCTATTTTGGGTTCAAAGTTGGCCCAAAATAAGCCTATAAAAACCAAAATTTCCAACATTTATTGTGTTAATTTGATCCTTGAAGCTCTATTGCATCAACTTCTTTAATTTTTTTATAATCTGTTAATTTAGTCTGATTGATAATATCGATTAAAAATTTGGACAAAATTAAAGACAAAATGGTTCATCTAAAAGGGAATGGACCATTTTTAATTACTTTGAAAATAATGAATTAACCATTTGACTTTAATTTTAATCGAGTTGATTATCCGATAGATTTTTTGTGCAAAGTTGATGGGTAAAATTAATGCAATTAAAACTGTAATAAAAGGAAAATGAAGTAGACTATAAACTTAAATAGTATTGATTTGACACATTGTGACAAATTAAAAATAAAATTAATGCAACTAGAACAAAAGGATGAAATTGACATAAAAGGCAAATTAGGTGATATAATTTATGCATATAAAAATGATAATGAAATATTATTCATTATTTTATTTTTGTATAATTTTTTTTCCAGAACAGAATTTTCTAAATTAAATTCGAATGCGGCTGGTTGGATCCGGTATCCAAACTCAAAAATCCAAACCCAAACCCATCGACCCAACAAATACTTTCTTAAACAGCAAGCCACATGACAGTTGGCTTGACTGTCATGTCACTCACTCTCTCCTGTTTACAGACTTAAAACCTATTCCAATTTGTAAACAAAATTCCACATTATTTACCAATTCCCAAAACCCTAAGACCAAATCCTGTAAATACCTACATAGTAATAAGAAAAATTCACATCAATTCAATATTCTCTAAACAACACAAAAAAGAAGCATTCTTCGTGAAGATGGTATTGATCAAGAGGAAGCATGAGGAGCTTGAGATCAAGAAAAGTGTCTATGGCGATGGAAAACTGTGGTTCAGAGGGCCCATCATCGGAAAATCAAGCAGCGGACCGGTTTATTTGGCGACTTTCAAGAAACCCACGTGGAGACTCACCCACTTACCTATACTTATGGTTATGAAGTCTGCGGAGGTTTCTGATTCTGCTATTTCAAAGAGAAGCAATGGTTCTTAACAACTTCCATGCTTGTCCCTACATCTATCGTTGTTTCGGGGAAGAAATCATGACCGGTTATTGCAATTGCATTATTTATAACATTCTCTTGAAGTATGGCTCTGGTGGAACCCTAGCTGATTTGATCAAGAAAAGTGGTGGCAGAGCATTGCTTGAATCTGATGGTAGGTGCTATACAAGGCATATTATTGAAGGTCTTGATTGTGTTCATAGCTCTGGTTATGTTGACCGTGCTCTAAAGCCTGAGAATATCATAGTTGTTTCAATTAATACTAGTATTGGGATTGAGTATGTGGCTAAGGTTGGTGATTTTGGGTTGGCAAAGACAGAAAAGCAGATGAGGAAGATGATGACAATGTCAAAATCTTATAAATTGAGAGGATATTTTTGGTGTTTGTCGCCATAGATGGTGGTTGATAGAGGGCTACAACAAGAGACTCTTGATGATGTCTGGGATGTAGGCTGTATTGTGTTTGAGATGTTATTTGGGAAGTCTGTATGGGATGGGAAACAAGATTCAGAAGTTGAGGGCATTCTCTCTGACACTGGTAAAGGGCATGGACTACTCAAACTACCCAAATGAAAGTGAGGTATCAGAGGAAGCAATGGACATTGTGAAGTGTTGTTTTGCTGCAAAAGCTATGGATAGATTGACTGCTCAAATGCTCTTGAATCACCCTTTTGTGGCTGGATTGGGCGAAGACAGCGAAGACAATGAAGAAGAATTATCAGTGGAGAATTCTGAGGAGAAGGGTTGGGCGACATCTACATTATCATTGTCAGTTTACAAGGTTGATGATGAACTCAGTTCATCCTACATTCTAGATGAAAGGGAGTTGAAGGTCAAAAAACTAAAGCTTGATGCAGAGGCAATTAGGGTTTGCTCATCGTTGTCATACAAAGACAGTGCAGTGGAAGATGAAATCAGTTCTTCTTGCCTTTCGGATGATTGGAGCAACATGCCATTGGAGGCAGAGGAATTGCAGGACATTTTAGAACCTGGGAGGGTTGATTGGTCATTGTCACTATCAGTTCAGTATTAGGAAGATGAACTGCTTCCTCTTCATCTATTTATGTAGATAAAATGTTTCTCATAATTAGTGGCTTGGCCATGTTAGAGTAAAGAGCAATGTAGAGTGAGACAAAAAAATAGATTTGTTAATTGAATTTATCTAGTTACATAAATATAACCCATTGGCATTGAGTAACTATTCTGTAAATTACCTGTTATGAGGTTTTATAATTCAAATTAAAATTAGAGAGAAAATGACAGTATAGTTTTCTTCCACATTCTCACCATCTGGTTGCATGAACACACACACATAGCATTATTGCAATTCACTTCTAAATTTGGGATTCCACTATTCATGGGTTATGCACAAAAGTGAAAGTTGGTTGATCGACTCATTGATGTTAAGCATAATATGAGGTGAATATCAAATCGGCGAGTCTTTGGATTACTGTGGCAACCCCTCTCTCCTTTGTCGACAACCTAGTATGCATGGATATTGTGGAATAGTGTAATACAAAACACTAATATAAACATCAGTAAAGAAAAGTGATAGTGCAAAAGTGCATCATAGCAAAGCCATTCCATTCCAAATAGGTTGGCATGAAAACGCCAGCAAGTCATATTCAAATGCCACCCAATAAACAAACAATGCTGGAAAGATTCCAACCAAAACTAGAGAAAAACATAATAGAATAGGGAGGAGGAAGAAGAAGAAGAAAAGAGTCCCAACATTGAACAAAGCAGTGACAACAATTCCAAATCAATACTAACAATAGGCTGCAAAACAAGCCCCCGAGAATTCCATAATAACCCCTTCAGAAACCAAACTGCAAGCTCGTAAATACAAGCAACTACAGTAGCCCCACCAAAACATTGGCAACACGTATGCAAATAGCAATAGAAGAAAGATGGGAGAAACCTTTTAGTACTGTCACTATGCCATCTAAACCGAATCAGCCCCCCTATTTTTTAGTTTGAAAATCCTCTCTAAAGAGTTAATGAAGTTATACGGAAAATTTTCAGAAGATGTTAAAGGAAGGAATGGTCATTAGGATCTTCAATCAAATTTTGGTCTGACCTTTGGATGGGAGAAAAAGCTCTATTTGGTTCACTAGAATGAGATGGAATGATCATTCCCTAACAATGTTGAATGATGATTCCATTTGCAATGTACTTTTTATTATATTTTTAATCAACCAAACATGGGAATGAACATTTTGTTGGAATGATGATTCCATTCCGCTTTATCTAGTGAAACAAACAGCACCTAAAAGCTAGGCTTCAGCACTTTCTAATTTCTGATTGCAAGGAATGCATGATTAAGGAGTTGTATAGTTGTTCAGGAGAAAACTTTTTTGCCAGAGAATTGGAGCTTTATGAGTCCTTGATAAGATTGTTGGAGAATTCTTTAAACAGAAAAGACCGACAGAAGTGATGCCTTATGATAAAAATGAGAAAAATAGGGAATGTTTACTGTTAAACCCTTCTATGAACACTGTTATTGTCTATGGAGCATTTTCATTACCTATCTCATCTTCAAAAATCTTGAAAAAGCTGTGCCCATTTTGAATTGAAGTATTCAGCTGGCAAGGTAGCCTACTCGTGATTGTGGCATCTTATTGAAGAGGGGATATGTTTTTTTTCCATCTTATGTTTTCAGAATCAGCATATCATGTACTCTTACATTGTGAGTTTGCTTGAAAAGTATGGTCAAAGTGTCCAAATTGGTAAAGTATACAACAATTTTACATTAAATGGGTATATCCTCCTTTGGAAATTTCTATGCTTTGTTGCTATGCTGCCATTGTGGAAAGCTCGTAACAATCTGATTTATAATAATAAGGTAGAATCGAATTGTTCTAATTTAGTTGACTTGAGTAAAGGCTCTTTGAGAATTTAAGGATTCCTCTGTGAACAATTTTCTTAATAACTTGAATTGGTGCTGCTAGGTATTTAATGGTGATTGAAGTGCTGTTGTAATTAGGAAGTAATTTACTAGGCACTGCTAGACGTCGCGTGGATTTTTTTTCCCTCTCTTGAAGACCTGCTTGGAGGCTTATTTTGAGGACGATATCATTATGGATTTGATCATCAGTTGAAAATTTATTGCCTAAATTGTTTGCATGATCAGTATGAATGCAATCCATGAAAGGTTTTCATGTTTTTAGAAGTAACTGAATTCAGATATTGAGCTGCTCTAGGAAATGTGACTCATTTTTTTCTTTACTGTTGGTGTTTTTAATTCTGTCACTATTGTGTGTGTGTGTGTTTTTTTTTTTAAATTCCTGTTGCCTTTATTTTATTACTAGCGTATGCCTGTGCTTGAAGGCATGGTACAATTAATGATGAAATTAAAATATAAATCAAAATTAGAGAGGAATGTATTCAAATTAATAAAGCTTAACACATAAATTGCAGGATCAATTCCACCAATAGAAATGATGATCAAGACCTCAATTCCACCAACAAACTTGAAGATATATCACTCTTGGGCCAAACAAAAATTTGGCTATCGTTAGAATTAGAATATAACCCGTGCCTTAAGATATATCGCACTTGGGCCAAAAAAAAAAAAAAAGTGAAAAAATACCAAATAGAAACATACCAAACAGATAAAACTACATAATCATTCTGTTTTGGAGAGGTTGCTTTCAAATTGGGTAAGCGAGAGAGTACTAGAATCTCATATAAGCTCATCATTTAATTTTTTATTTTTTAGACTAACAAAAAAAAGAGATTAGTTTTTGGATATAGAAATGGTAAAGACTAAGAAATTGACTACAGAAAATATAACACACATATCTATTCTAGAGAGGTTGATAATGTGGGTGGTTGTTATTGTTGTTGTTGCGGTGGCCGCGGTGGTGGAGGTGTGTTGGTGTTGAGGAGAGGACGCGAGGCAGAGGAACACTGCAAAGATCATGATATTGACAGAAGATGGTGAGGAGGATAAAGCCAATTGACAAATTATGAGTTTGGCTATCGTTAACATTCTGCTTTTATCATCCATGGACATGCTGCACCACAATTCATGAAAGAATGAATGGATATCTTATGCAGCAGAATGGTAATGTCATAGCGATCTGATATGACCAGAGACGAAAGATTAGGAGAGGCTACTTCCATAAAAAGTAAAGCATGAATAGGGATTTTCATTACAACGAATACCAAGTCATGATTATAAAATCGCTCTAATTTTTCATATAAAAAATGGTCGCCAAATTTTTTTATATTATAAAATATTCAAATTATAACCAGACTCACAATAGATCGGCCATACAAAGGTCTTAATATTTTCTTAAATTCATATTTGAATAAGACTGAAACAACTATATTTCCTCGTGTATGAGTATGACTACTACCTCTCTTCTAGTTCAAAAGAGAAATAAATGAAAATAATGTTTCCAACAATGATTAAGTAGTTAAAAAGGAGATATTAACTTCCCGGGAACAGCTATTATATGACTACTACATTTTTTTAGTCACAAAAAGCTCATATTTGGCAACGAAATTCTTTGGTCGGCAAAGAGTAACCCAAAAAATATGCATGGTCTTTGACAACTAAACTTTCTTTTGTCAGTAAATAATTGTATACGATGATCAAATTAAATTTATTCGTAGCCTAAAATATAAACTATCACCGACTAACAGGTTTTTGGTCGCCTATTACTTAATATTTAGCGACTAAGTTTTTTTTAATCGCCAATAAATAGCATATCTCGACTAAATTAATATAGTAGCTAAACTTCAAACCAACGCCGACTAATATATTTTTTAGTCGCCAAAAATGACACTTTTGGCGACTAAATTTATTTTGGTCGCCAAATTTAGTCGCCAAATGTGTAATTTCTTGTAGTGAAGGAAACACAAACCCATATCGGTTTCTTGAACATATAGAAAAACACAAATGATACAAATGATAGAGAATCAAAATGATTGAGAACCACCTAGAATACCTGCAAAACTCCATAGCAAATATTACCACCATATGATACAAATGCAGATATTAGATGAATAAATAAAAAAGAGAACCAGAATGTTAACCATAGTCCATAGAACAGCAGCTACTACTCATTCCATAGTAGACTTGTGGGTGTTTCCAAGCCAGCCATTTTAAAACATTTGGCTCAATTCAACCAAATTCTAACTCAAATTGGACCAATTGATATTGGCTAAACCAAATGGGTTATGTATAAACTGTACAACAACATGATTCCAATATATTCTAGGTGTTTTGATTTAAGGTTTAGAAAAAAAAAATCAAAATGAGGGCTAAACTGCTGGTGACGTTTGCAACTTGGCAACCTAAAAAGAGTCCCAAAAGAACAACCACTTAAAAAATGCCCCAGTAAAAACATCACACCCGGATCCTCTCCTTAAAATCACACCAAACCCAGATCATAAAACTAAAATTCTTGGGTTCAATACTTACTGCTAAATAATCACAAAAGATTAGACAAAAGAACGTAGGCTTATTGAAAGAGATACAATTCCATTTAATCCAATAACAATAAAAAAATGATACAATTTCTCCACAAAATAAAACTAAAAATCAAAATTACAGAAAGAGG